AGGGTCGTTTGCCAGCCTGAGCGCCAGCGGGGGGGTCAGGGTCGAGGTCGGAGAGAGTGGTGCAGGAGTAGATCAAGTCTCGGTAGAGTAGATTCGTCGAATTCATTGAACGCCAATGATCCATTTTCACCTCGGGGTCGAGCATCGTGTACCGCCGACCGGCCATACAGAAATTAAGATGGTGACGTCCACGTCCAGGTCCGCGAGGACGAGGTATCACTTCTCGATGTTAGTTCACGTGCTAGGAGGCGGAGAAGATGATTTTGTAGCGCCCGTATGTGGCACGGTAGGATCTGAGGGAGGTGCACAGGCCGTGGCCGGGGCTGGGGCAGGGGCAGGGGCAGGGGCAGGGGCAGGGGCAGTAGAGCAGGAAGAGGAGCAGGGATAGGGGCAGGGGCAGGCACCATCGACTCGATTTCACCACTGAATTAAGTAGTCTTGAGGATAAAGGAGACAGGGATCGCGATTCGTACGACTACAACGCATGCGAGGCGTGAGAGACAAAGGGAGAAGAGTGTAGGGATTGACCTACGAATTGAGGCTTTGCATAGAATGAACAAAACCAAGTCCTATGAATTTAGCCCTCGTTGATTTATATATGAAAACGCGATAATGCAAGGTAGAGGGTCTATCTGGACCAGTACACCCATCGGTTGTCCAGAAACACTTTGCTTCCTCCAGACAATTGTGAGAGATCTAGATTTGAGTGACTGTCTTGCAGGGCATGGACTCGGAAACATGGGAAGAACTTTTGCAACATGGGGGGATGGTATCTTTCATGAACGAATCGAAGGGATTCCAAGGGAGCTTGAAGGACTCTGCGGAGGTATCTTATGCTTGAAAGGATGTTTGAGCTGAACTGCATGATAGGACTTTGTTGTCAACGAAATTGATCTCGATGGGAACGTGATAAAGCTGGAGGAGGACGAAACTGGATCGAGGTTCGACTATTCAGGCTGTTCATACTTGAGAGTCTTGCGAGCTGATACTCAAACTTCGTCTGGCCCGGAAGCAGTCAAGAAAGCCGAAGTCGAGGAAGAGTGCGCAGGGGAACGAACCAGTGTCCTGTTAGAGCAAATTGAGGAGAGCCTATTCAAGGCAGAGCTGAAAGATCTGATTTCAGAGGAAGCGATCAAGCAGGTTGAAACCTATGCTCAGACATTGGAAGGGGATGACAAGGTTGACGATGTGAAGAGCAAGGGTGTGATGATAGATATCCCTGATGCTGAAGCATTCCTGCGAAGACACTTGCCTGATGTCTCTGCAGCTCCAGAGATCTCTGCTCAAGTGACGAAGCTGTTCCGATCGGCATGCCATCACGCAATGAAGACCAGGTGGCCGTGGATCAAGACGACGACTGTCGACGGGAAGTTCATCAAGGCAGAGAAGGATGCGATCTTCGACGAGATCAGTGAGCTCCTGGTGAAAGACGACCTTGAGAAGCTGCAGCTGTTCGCCGTGACAACAAGGCGGATGAACCAGAAGAAGTGCCAGGAGGGAGTAGATGCCGCGAGCTCGTTTGTGCTGATAGGACAGAACGCTGACAGAGCTTGTCGTACGAAGATCCATCAGTGCATCTCACGTTGCCTTCCCTTCTTCCGCAGCACCACGGAGACCAAGCGCAGCGCGGGGGAGGAGGGCGGCGCCAGCGCCATACGGGTGGAAAGGAAGGAGATGAAGCATATCAAGAGCTCTGAGCTGAACAAGAAGAATGAGAGGAGGGGGACGAGGCCTCAGAAGTTCAAGATAGAGGATGGAGGATACTGGTACACTGCCTTCGTCCTGCGGAAAGAGCATGTGGAACACCTCGAAGCAATCTCTCGCCTTGCCGATGCCCTGCAAGTGCCTCCCTCCTACTTCAGCTACCACGGCACAAAGGACAAGGTGGGGATCACGACTCAACTGTTCGCAGTGAGGGGAGTCAAGGGAGAGAGGCTTGCTGGTATCAGCAACAAGATCAGCCGCATTAGGATAGGGAAAATCTCCACGTCGTCCTACGCACAGCCGCTATCGCTAGGCCATCTGCTGGGAAATCGATTTCAGATCAGAATCCGAGAAATTTCAGCGAAGAGGGAGGTGGTGGAGGGTGCGGTTGGAGAGCTCGGCAGGAGCGGATTCTTCAACTACTTTGGCTCGCAGAGGGTGGGACGGTACTCGGCTGACCATCTGATGCCGCACAGAGTTGGAGCGAGTATGATGCGAGGGGACTTCGAAACTGCCCTCAAGACCCTGCTCTACGGACAGGGAGACAACAAGGAGAAGTGCAGGCAAGCGATCGATTTCTACTATGAAACGAAGAACATCTCGAAAGCGTTGAAAATGCTCCCGCGAGGCAGCAGAGTCCAGGAGATCGTCCTCAAGGCTCTGCAGAGGAACGGGCACGAAGCGCACTTGGAGGCTATCAAGGCTCTTCCGCACGGGATCCGCTCGCTTCACTTACAGAGCTATCAGAGCTTCGTGTTCAACTGTATGGTGTCATTGAGGATGAGGAAGTTTGGGAGGCAGGCTGTGGAAGGAGATCTTGTATGGAGCAGCGAGAGGATGGCGGATAGGAAGAGGAGGTTGGAGTTGCTCTCGGAGTGTGCCGATGGGAGTGGGAAGAGGAGGAAACTTGATGGGGGGAGTTTCGTCGGGCAAGAGGAGGATGAAGACGGTGTGGTTGAGAGCAAGAATCATGCAGAAGGGACGGATACGGCAGAAAACAAGAGGATCAAGACTTTGACCAAGGTTATCACAACCCTTCCAGATAGTTCTAAACATGTTCCTTTACTCCCTCGCAGGAGGATATTGCTTCTGGCTCGTATGGGATTCAGGTGTGTGGATCGGTGTAGTCATCTGAAGTTTTGACCCATGCTTGAACTTGCAGGACGTCATTCTTCCACTCCCTGGGAGGTTCTCGACTCTCTTTCCTCTCCTTGCAGCTCAAGTCGAAGCAGATCTGTCATATATCCGGACAACGAGATGAAGGAAGAGTATCGCAAGCTGGTCGAATTTCAACCCCTTCTCTTTGTCTTGATTGCTACCTGCTCGTTGTGTTGAACTTTGCCCCTTGCTTGTCATGTTGAGTTTTTTTCCCACCTCCTTCTCCCTTCAAACTTCCTCCTCGAACCTCCCTCGTACTCGTCTCCTCGAACCTCCCTCCCTCCCTTCCCACCTCGTCATGTTTCTCACCTCTACACATTCAGCTCGCACAAGACGACGTCGACTTTCAGGACCCTACTGCGAAGCTAGGACCCTTTGCATCTCAGGTATGAAGTGAGAGAGAAGGGATGAAAGGTCGCTGATCCACTCTTGCAGTGCCCTGGAGGCTACAGACAAGTCGTTGAGTACATCAAGGTGATCTACATGTTCAGATGATGAACTTGCTAGTGTTCTTGACGACTGCGTTATCTTCCGAAAACAGCAGCTAGAGGTGATATACCCTACAGCACATGAGGAGGGAAAGGTACATGACTTGACTGTTCCACATGAAGAGCTGACAGGGTGGGCAGAGCTGGGATTTGCTACTTTCCTTCAACCTCCCCAAGAGCTGTTATGCAACTAGTGCGATTCGCGAGATGATGAAAGAGTGCGTTTAATGCAAGCTGCAACCGACCAGCCCCCGTGCAGCTCCTGAGATTTCGATTCCCTTTGCACTTGTCTAGCAACAACAACAACACCTGCTCCTCTACCTCCGGAACCTCCTCGGAATCTCCATGAGCTTCTGCAGGACAGTCTTGGATCGCTTCTGCCTCTGCGCTTCGCGATGCTCCTGGATTAGTTTCGGCATCTCAGCCATCTTCTCTTGGATCTTCTTCTTCCTCTCGTCGTACATTCGCTCCCTCTTGCTTCCTTTAGACATAAAGATCGTCTTCTCGTAGAAGCTCTCCAAGGGTCCCGGAGCTGGCTTCTCCTGCGCAGCCAAACTGGGATAGCCAAAGTCAGGCTCGCACATGAGGTAGGGAGGGACAGATCAGGTACTCACGGCCATGCCAGACCCTCTGCTTCCGCATCCTTCTTCAGCTCCTTGAGCTGCCTCTTGGAGAAGAGAGGCTTCGTCCAATGCCTCATGCCGGGCCGGGCGTCTTCGCGCTTCGTTGGGAAGGCTCCCTGCGGTAGCATTGCCAACTTCTCCACCAAGCTCTTTCCCCACACAACTCGCCGTGAAGCCATCTTGATGTTCCTGCCAGAGCGGAGAAGAGCCTTGGTCAGAAGATCAAACCACATGCTTGACTTTCACTCGTGCGTATGAACATGAAACGTCAAGTTTCTGCGCTGTTCTGCCTGTTTGCTTCCTTGAACAACCTCCTGACCTACATCCATACCTTACCCTTAGCTGCATATTGATCTAGCCAGCGGCACTCATTCTTCCTTTCAGTCTTCAAACTCTCTCGTCCCCAAGCATCATTGCCATCCCCCATTTCTCACTCCCTTTCTGCATTTGCGGCAGCAGCAGAAGCAGGAGGAGGAGCTCCACTTTGCTGCTCATTCTACTGCTTCCATCGAGCCCTTTCTGCCCCTCTTCTCTTCTCCTGCTACTCTTCTCTCTCCCCCCTTCCTCTCCCTCCCTTCCTCCCTCGCCCCCGCCCCCCCGCCCATCAGCTGCTTCTGCCTCCATGCTCCTCGCATCTCCAACCAACCTACCCCACCTACCCTGCCACCATTCACCATATCACCTCTACACCCCCCATATACTCAGTCAAAGTACCCCTGTTCTACGTATCTGTCGTATTATGTTACTACCCCACCCTATGGTCTGCAGTGAAAAAAAAGAGGAAAAAAGAACAAATAAAAACAAAAAAAACCTCCAGATCTGTCTGCCCAGAGTTGCATCATGCTACTTTGTGCCAGCGGACAGAGAGGGAGGAGGGAGGAGGGAGGAGGGAGCAGGGAGCAGGGAGCAGGGAGCAGGGAGCAGGGAGCAGGGAGCAGGGAGCAGGGAGCAGGGAGCAGGGAGCAGGGAGCAGGGAGCAGGGAGCAGGGAGCAGGGAGCAGGGAGAGAGAGGGAGCAGGGAGCAGGGAGATGGAGAGGGAGAGGACGGATGGAAATGTGAGGAAGGGGTATTTCAGTCATGGTTTAGCCAAGCGAGGAGAGAGGGGGAATGAATTTTGAAGATTTTTATAGGAGATGTAATGGGAGCAGGGAGAGACGAGAGCATCAAGTGATGGTCGGAGGCAGAGTGAGAGGAGGGGAGAGAGTTGAAATAGAAAGGAGGTAATGTAAGAAGCAAGGATGTTGCTGGAGCAGGAGTATGAACTCATCGTAGGGACTTGATAATCATGCATCAGCATACACGCATTGACCGCGTTCCTTCACCAGAGGGCGTTTCATCTAGCTGACAGGTTCTCGCAGAGATTGAAAGGCTGTTGCTGGGACCGGGGCCAAGGATGGGAAGCAACAAGAAGAAGGAGGTTGTCGTGCTGTACGATGTCGGCGACGTGACCAGACATGGTTGAAGGTGATCGGCATGGAGGCCTGGCAGGAGAAGCTGGACGCAGTGAACATATCCAAGGAGGATCTGAATTGTACTTGAGAGGAGGTGCTTGTGATGATGAAGAGAGTGAAAATGCGTGTCTGCAGGTCTGGTGCTGAACTTTCTCGTGATCGAAGGGTACAAGGTCACACGAAAAGTTCTGATTGCTCGACGTGCAAGACTGAGTGTAGCTGTGTAGGATACGGCAGAGAAGTTTGCAAAGGAATCCTGCACGAAGGCTGATGTGGACCTGAACTCGATAGGCGACAGAATGCAGATAAGGGCTGCGGTAGGTCAATGCGGAGCGATGAAGGGGATGAGAAGAAAGGAACGAGAGGAAGGCAGGAGAGGAGGGGGAGGAGAGAAGAGGAGGGGGAGGGAAGGAGGGGGAGGAAAGGAGGGGGAGGAAAGGAGGGGGAGGAAAGGATGGGAAGGAGGAGAGGAGGAGAGGAAGAGGAGGATATGCAGGACTTGTTGGTATTGGTTATTTCCCTCTTACAAGTGCATATCTGCCATCAGGTGCATCATGGGAACATTGCAGACGCGATAGAGCGAGTGAACGACTTGAATCCTGAGATCTTAGAGACGTGAGTGTGTCTCAAAGACGACAACGTCCTCACCGTGCTGAACAGGAACGTCGGCCTGCTCTTCAAACTCCAACAGCAGCGCCTGATAGAAATGATCCGGGAGGGGAAGGTGAGAGGTTTCCCTCTCGTCCTGGAGTTGAGCAGCCTGTCAAGGTCCAAGAGGCGTTAGGGTTCGTCCAAGAGGAGCTGCTGACTCTCTGCGAGAACAACAGCGTATGCTTGTCGATGTACAATGTCGGCAAGCTGAAAATGGTGGTGAAGGATCTGTTGTTTGAGCTAGAGACGACTTTGTCGCTGCTGGCGTTCGAGAACTTATCAAGTCTGCCTGTCTCCCTCAGACCCTCCTGTGTTCTCTTGACATGTCCACAGCACAAGGAGCGGATTTTGGAGCCGATGATGGCGGGAGTATGAAGAGAGTGCGCGACTTTGCAGTCCTGATCGTCATCATGCAGAACAGCAGTTGCCTTCCGAGCTCAAGCAGCTTCTCGAGCCTTCCTTCAGGCACAAGACAGCGACGAGCTTGAACGCTGCGATCTTGGCGAGCCAGGTAGACCAGAGCTGCTGAGAAGTTTGAAGGTATCCCATTGGTGGATTAATAGCATTGGACAGGATCAGGACAAGGAGTCCAAGCTGCCCCTCCTGTACGTTCCAATCCTCGTCCCCGTCCTCTTCTTTCTCCTCTTTCTCGTTCTTGTTATCGGTAGTGCTGCTGCTGCTGTTCCATGACCTGTTTCTCAACAGCCTCAAGATGCTTGTTTGGGTCCAAGAACAGTGAGAATTCCTCTCAAGCGTTGAAACAGAATTTAACATTTCTATCAGGTTGTCCAAACACGCTAAATTCCCAAAGATCGACAACCTGGTATGGCCCACAGCAAACAGTGTTCCCTTGGCGTGTCAAGATGCTGAGGGATGTGCGAGCAGGTTTCAGCGAAATTCAAGGTGGACAGCACAGAGGAGGATGGGGAGCATGAGGTCTTGTCTTCCCTCATGGTTCTTGGTTGACTGTCAGATTGCGAGCAGGGGGAGAATGACGAGCTGCCGCTGCTCTCTGCCATGGAGGTGAGATTGAGCAGGAGAGAGAGGAATTAGTGATGACGTGAGCGGAGCAGGAGGACGAGATCGAAGTGGAGAGGAACGTTCCCAGGGGTGTGACGAACATGTACATGCAGGCATGATGGAAGAAATAGAGATACGACTCTTGCAGACCTTATCTTCCTTCTCTCCTCTTTTCTTCCAAGCCCCACGCTTACAACCAATCTCACAAGCTACTCTGTACTCCGTCCCCCACAGTTCATTCCTCCTCCTCCTCCTCCTCCTCCTCCCCCTTCCTGTTCACTTGAGATCTCGACGAGAGGCAGCATCATAAGTCCGAGTTTCTAAATTCATTTCCGAAAATCTCCATCAAAACCCTGGAAACCAGCGAGGAGGAAGATCGGGTAGTAGCTCTTCTTCTCCAACTTGCTGCACCAGTTCCATGCGCTCGTCAGACGTCCGTCGATGCAGGAGCCTCCGTCGCTGCCCGACCCATCGAAGCCATGCTTGAAGAAGTCGGCGAGGATAGTCCTTCTGATGACATCAGGCCCTCCGAACTCCTCGTTCACGATCTTGCTCGTCGCAGGGTCCTGCGAGAGTTTGTGAATGTGACTACAACAAGCTCCTTCCGCACCTTCGCCAGTCTTGGAAGTGACCGGACGGTGTGAACGATGGGCCCGAGCAACCTTGCAATCTTCGTGGTTGAAGAGGAAGGGGTTAGTGGGGGGAGAGAAGACAGGACAGCAGCAGGAGGGGAGGAAGAAAGTTGTGAAACGTCAGGATGCTGAGTCGAAAGAGAGGAGGAGAAGAGTCTTTACCTGCGTGTACTTGTCGATGAAAACGAGCGCGTTGGGCACATCTCGATCTCCCAGATGGACCACAGAGAGACCAACCCAACTGTCATGCTGTGAGCTCGACTGACCTCCTAGTCTCCTGCCTCACCTTCCACACTTCGACTGGACCTTAGAGAGGATAGCATGCATGGCGTGCGCAATTTTCGGTGCGCTCTGGACTCGATTCATCCCCTGCTTCCACCTCACAGTCTGAACGGACAAGGAGCATATTACACACCTGCCCTGTGTTCATGAGACGGTACTGGTTATCCGGGTTGAGAAGATCTTTCTCTGCAAGGATCCAGAGTCTGAACCTGCGGCATGAACCATATCAGTTGCGAAGCACAAGTTGGAGAAGAACGACGTACATCTCTTGGGTGACATGTCTCCAAAGCTGCAAAGATTGCAAGACAAAGGTGTACTGAGTAGAATGAGTGTGAGAGAGCTTCGAGCCTGTAAGAACACGTCACAACACCAGTGAGAATTCATCTTTTTGCAATCCAAAGGTAAACTTGCCTCGCAAACCCGAACAGATCTCAAGGGAATAAGGATTTTCAGCCTTGTTCGGATCGAAGTTTGCTGTGAGAAGGGCTATCATTTCATCAACCTGCACATCCATTAGAAGATCTCCGGATGACAAGAGGTCGAGCACCGGACGGCGGTTTGTCTCAAGATAAGCGTGAAAATCTCCCATGGAGAAGAGGCAATACTCAATTTCTTCCTTGGATATCTTGTCGTTGGCGTAACGTTCAGAAATCGACCTTATCGCTTTCTGCAAAACATCATGTATCCTTCAGATCATCTGTTTCTCTCCGCATCTCAACAAGTATCTCGACCTGCTTGTTCGATGAATCCGCTTCCAACTCAGCACGGGACCGCTGCACGCCTCCTTCAGAGGACGATACAGCCATGATCGCCGTCCCGATGTCTTCGTCTGCGAGGACCTCCAGAGCATCTCGAGCCTCCAGAAAATTGTAGACGGTGTGGATATCAGCCGCCACATCGAGGTCGATGGCTGAAGGAGCGTCCTAGCATAAGATATCATCTTTCAGCATTCATGGATGGAGCAGAGCGACAAAAAGACCTGCATGAGATAGATCAGCTTCCCATACGTGCACCGCATCTTCTCAGGGTTGGTGATCTTGAACCGCCTTCCGATCTCCAGCACACGCTGAAAGAACTCCTCGTTCTGCGAGATCTGCTTGTTCTTAACGATCTCACTACACCGAATCTTGTCAGCGCGCGAGCGTTCAACTTTCAAGTCAACATCTACCTGCCCTTGGTTGGGTTACCAGCTACGATGAGTCCAAGAAGGAGTTGAAGGAGGTCGGCAATCTCCTCCCGGATGACATCTGCCTTCGTGTTGCGGAAGCTCCAACCTCTCACGACGTCCACCTTGTCGGTATACTCCGATACCTCAAGAGCTCCCTCCTGTGCCACGGTGAGTCGCCTTCCCCTTCACCCCCCTCCCCCCCCGACCCTTCTCTCTCTCTCCCTCTTTCCCACCAACACCCCCCCTTTTCCTTCTACCCCATGTCCTTCAACGCCCAAATTTCACAGCCCCCCCCACACCCAGACACCACCTCATCCTGCTGCTGCTCCTGCTGCTGCTCCTGCTGCTGCTCCTGCTTCAATTCCTGCACCTGCACCTGCACTTCCTCCTCTTCCGCCTCCTCCTCCTCCATTGTCTGCTCCTTCCATCCACCTTTCAAACAACTGAGCTAGTGACACTCACCAGCAGCTTGAGCAGCGTCCTCTCCTCCCCGGACACACGTAAGGGGATATACTTTGAAGATTCTATGAGGCGATCGGCAATGGCAGACCTCATGGCCTTTGACTCCACAGAGCCGCTGTCCTCCTCGCTCTTTCCCCTACCAGCTCCCTCCTTGTTGTCAGCCATCTCCTCGTCCCCGACCAAAGGAGCTTCCTTCTCATCTGCTGCTCCACCACTGCCTTTGTGCAGCTGCATGAAATGGGCTGTGGTACCCTCCACTCGCTCTCGGAACATCTGCATGCCGGGGAGGGGGGTGGGCGAGTGCTTGGCTCTCTTGCCCGATCTGTGCTGCCATTGGAAGCAGAGCCCGCACAGCTCGTCGCCGCATTCCTCGCATCTCACCGACGCCCCGACGTCCTCACACTCCACACACCATGGCATGGCGGGAGGTCTGGGTGGAGCTAGGGGAGGGTGGGTCATTCAGAATGGTAGGTGTGGGTGGTTTGACCGTGGTAAAGGGGTTGAAAGCCAAATAGGGTGGGGTAGGGTAGGGTTTCTGAGATATGTATATGGATAGCGGGTCCGTCAAGGGCTCCCAGAAGGTAGGGGTACGGCTCGAACTCAACAGGGCCTCAGGGGTAGGGTAGTACTCCCCAGACCTTCAAACGGTACCCACCCCCAAGTAAGATTTGGAACCTACTACCCCTACCACCTGCCCTTGTTTGGAACAACTCGTGCTAGGAAAGCAACGCCATGCACGAACATGCGTCGAGGAAGGGGAGGGGAGGGAGCGCAGAAGAGGCTGAGGGAACAAGGCAGGAACGGGGGAGAGGGAGAGGAAAATGATGGCAAGGTCAACATGCCGAAGCTGAAACAGGTTGGAAGCGCTGTAGGAGGGGAAGGAGCGTTGTAGGCGCAAGTGTTGCCGTCGTCCTGTACGCTTATGCTTCCTTTTCATCTACCTCCTTCCAACCTTGACTTCTACTCAACCGACACAACGACGTGCTTTACCAATTATTTTACAAGAACAAAATCGAGATCTGCACACTCTGCTTCGAACCATGAGTTCGCAATCACGGCCCTCGGAGAATTCCGTCCCACACCGGAGGGTCAGGATTGTATCCTGTCCAACACAACCATATCACTACACAGGACAAGAGGAGAGACTAAGAAGTACCGTCAGGATTAGCTAGGATAGGATCACCCAGAGGCTGCGATCCAAACTGGAACACCGAGACAGGAACTCCCTTGCTCTGCGATACGATTAAGAGGAGCCACCACTATGCAGGAGAGCGTACAGAAGGAAAGTCCCATCCGTTGTAGTTCTTGTAAAATCCATTGATGTGGAAATCCGTAGATCCTGACAGCAAAATCCATGAGTCGCTGATAGAACATAAAGAAGGTGATTAAAGATCTGAAAACTCACCGTCAATCCCAGCCTCCTTCACATATGCGTCGTAGGCAGGATCAGGGGCAAGCATGGTAAATCTTGTCCTCGACGGAAACAGCATCTGAGTCGCTAAACGTCAGTCGCTAATCTTGACCAACTATCCTTTCAGTCTAGCCCAATAATCCCTCCAGGAGATTAGTGCACAAAAACGTTAAAACATCCATAATACTTCCGCCCATCAAATCTTCACATCTCCCTCGTGTCAGATAGATAACTCTTCCCTCCATTTCTTTGCCCACGGCATAACACACTCATAGTTGTCACCGATCTTTGCAATGTCTGCCTTCGAAGCTAAGGTTTTGCCGGTGTTAAAAAGCTACTGTATCATCCTCAGGCAGATATCACTTCTTGATGGAAATGACTGCTCTCATGATTTCTTTGCTACAATTAAATTCAACTACTAATCACTCAGCTTGCAGTGCAGTCCTTCATTCCTGCTTAAACTTTAAATGCACATTATCATCTCATTGTCATTACCGTGCTCCGTAACCTCCCCGTCCATTCCTGCTCTTGCTCCTGCTCCTGCTCCTGCTCCTGCTCCTGATCCTGATCCTGATCCTGATCCTGATCCTGATCCTGATCCTGATCCTGATCCTGATCCTGATCCTGATCCTGATCCTGATCCTGATCCTGATCCTGATCCTGATCCTGATCCTGATCCTGATCCTGATCCTGATCCTGATCCTGATCCTGATCCTCCCAGACTGATTCCCTCCCCGAACCTTCCATCCTCCACTTCGACTGTCCCACCCTCCGTTCATTGATAAGCATCTTGCCCCCTCGCAGTGCCTGAGGCGGGTTCCGTTGTGATTACTCAATTTTAAAGAATTTTGTACCAATTTGCCAAATTGCCCGTATACATCAATATTAACTAAAATACAGTATAGATGCTGAGCCAGGAGTAACCCTGCACCTCAAACCCCAAACAATTAGTACCAGTAGAAGGACTTAGTACCAATGATCTGATATTAGCTAATATTTATACTATTATTTTTCGCTTATTCAATGGCAAATCCACCCCCTCACTTGATAACCCCACACAATTATTCACTCACCCCTACATGATCATTATGAGTGGTCAACGCAACATTTTCCCTGAAAATTTTCCTGGAGTTCAGCATTACTTGGGTGTGTTGACCAAACATTTCCACCACCCCCTTAGCTACCACCCCACAATAAACTTGCGTACCCCCACCGTCCTCCCTCAATTGATCGAACCCCCAGCACGTGCCCCGGTCGTCCTCCCTCTCGCTCGCTTCCCCCTCCCCCTTCCCGCTCCTCCCCCCCCTGCTGCTCCTCGCCTTCAGCCCCCAGTCCTGCCTCGTGGACTTGAGTTCCTAGCTTCGAGATCTTCCTGTCTCGCTGCTTCTTCCACCCCCTCCTCCCTCATCTCTCCCCTCCCGCTCACAACTAGTCAAAGCTCTGCTAAGGATCCCAGGCGATTTCTGACTTGAATCTCCCATCCTACAACAGGATTTCTTGATCTACTCTACACGAACATGTCATTGTTCGTGCTCTACGAGAGTGCAAGCGGGTTCGCTCTCTTCGAGCAGACCGAAAGCGATGAAATCGGACAGTTCCTCGAAGAAATGCAGGACGCCATGGCGGATATCAGCCGCATGAGCAAAGTGATCAAGCTCAAGGCATTCATGCCCTTCAAGAGCGCAGAGGAGGCGCTCACTGCTGCCAACGATCTCTCTGAGGGCATCTTGAACGAGTACCTCAAGAACTTCTTGGAGATGAACCTCCCCACCGGAGGGAAGAAGGACAAGAAAGGTAAGGTACAGCTGGGAGTCCTCGACACCAAGCTTGCCTCTGCCATTTCTGACGAGCTCGGCATCTCCTGCACGACTAAGGATCCTGTGCCTGAGCTCATCCGCGCAGTCCGCCTGCACTTTGCCAAGTATGTCAAGAAGCTGGAGGAGAACGACCTCACCAGGGCTTCCCTTGGTCTGGCCCACTCCTACTCTCGCTCCAAGGTGAAGTTCAACGTGAACCGTCAGGACAACATGATCATCCAGTGCATCTGCCTGCTCGACACCCTCGACAAGGACATCAACACGTTCGCCATGCGCGTGAAGGAGTGGTACGGTTGGCACTTCCCCGAGCTGGTCAAGATCGTGGGCGACAACTACAAGTACGCTCGCCTGTGCAAGGCCATCAAGGTTCGAACCTCGCTCTCCGATGAGAGCCTGGATGCCCTCCAGGAGATCCTGGACGACGATGAAGGCCTTGCCAAGCAGATCGTCGAGGCCTCCAAGACTTCGATGGGCTACGACATCTCGGACATCGACATGCTCAATATCCAGACCTTTGCCGATCGCGTGATCAACCTCGAAGAGTACCGTCAGCGCCTCCGCGAGTACCTCAACCAGCGAATGCACTCCGTGGCTCCGAACTTGTCCTCTCTCGTTGGTGAGATTGTGGGTGCACGACTCATCTCCCATGCTGGCAGCCTTACCAACCTGGCCAAGTACCCGGCGTCTACTGTTCAGATCCTTGGAGCAGAAAAGGCTCTGTTCAGAGCCTTGAAGACGAAAGGAAACACTCCCAAGTATGGGTTGATCTTTCACTCCTCCTTCATCGGAAGAGCCTCCCAGAAGAACAAGGGCAGGATCTCCCGGTACCTGGCCAACAAGTGCAGTATTGCCTCGCGCATCGATTGCTTCTCAGAGACCCCCAAGTGAGTCTGAACTTCTTGTCAGAGCTGATGGGAAGGAAGCTGGGGAAGAGAGAGGAGAGAGGTGGGAAGGAGGAGTGACCAACTGTTGTGCAGCACGATCTTCGGAGAGAAGCTGAAGGAGCAGGTGGAGGAGCGTCTTGCGTTCTACGACACTGGTACGCAGAGTCTCAGTAGGCTGCCTCCCTTGCTGATCCTCTCTTGCTCCAGGAGTCGCCCCGAGAAAGAATCTGGACGTCATGAGGGATGCCATGAAGGTAAACTTCGTTGCTGTGGAGTTTTGGACCTCATCGATGGCGAACAGCTCGCTGGCGAAGCACCAAAGTCTGAGAAGAAGAAGAAGAAGGACAAGGAGAAGGTACTGAGAGCTTGTCGCCCTGTGTTATGCTGATCTCTGCAATAGAAGAAGGCCGAGGCTATGGAGGAAGATGAGGAGGAGGACAAGAAGGTGAGAGAGCTTGTGATATTTTTACTAGCGCTAATGTTTGGAGCAGAGCAAGAAGAAGAAGAAGAGCAAGAAGGACGATGACGATGAGGAAGAGGAGGAGGAGAAAGAGGTACCGTATCATAAGTATGCGTGTATGACTGTGCAATGACTGGTCAAGCAGAAGAAGGTCAAGAGCGACAAGAAAAAGAAAAGAAAGGATCGTGAGGCCGAAGAGGTGAAACCCTGATGACAAAGAGGAGACGTTGTTGACGGATCAATTGCAGGAAGAGGAGGAGGACACCAAGAAGGAGAAGAAGAAGAAGAAGAAGAAGAGCGATGATTGAGATGTGTCAAGCTGACAAAGCTTGCTTCTCTCGTCCGTCTGTGGAACTGGCGACATTCTCTACATGGACGGCACTGGCGTTATCTTGATCGGGCTGATGTCTTGTCTCATCCGATGAGCAGCGGTCACTTGTCTTTATCCTTGTCCACTCGTTCGAATACTTCATGTGAGAGTGCGAGGGATCCCTAGAGCGGCTGATACTTGTAGTGTGTCGTTGCAGGCACTTGTACACTTTCCTAACAAAATCTTTCAAGTGACTCTTCGAGTAACATATAAATGAATCATATTTCTTCGCTTTCTTCCCTTTTCTGCTTCTTCTTAGCCCTCGTCGTGTCTTGCATGTCCAGTATCACCTGTAGCGCTTCTTCCGGTATGCAACTATGCGGTATGTCCACGAAGAAAACTCCAGCACTTCCTCTCATTCTCACTCCTTCCTTGAGCCAAACCTATCACACGAACAAGCACAAAATCAGAGGTTTCCTTGTGAAAGATGCGTCACCGGATGTTCCACAGGCGTCACGCAGCGACCTTGGATATCTTGCAGACTTAAGACATCGAGACAGTGTTAGGAGACAATGAGACAGCAAAGGAGACAGAGATATACAGGGCCTGTCGTTGAATGTTTCTCAGTGACGTCTTGATCCCATGGATTGAGCCATCCGTGACCAACGACGTAGATGTTGATGTCGATATCGATGTTGATGCTGGTACGACATAGCAGTCTGTTTCCGAGTGTACGAGATTTTCCGGAGACATGATTTCATGCCACCAATCCTTCCTTTCATCTTCTTTCTTACGACTCTCTCCTGGATTTTCAAATTCTTCAAATACATTTCACCATCAATTCAGTCGTGAAGTCAGAAGAATAATCACCTTCCGCACGCTCTTCTCGCGTCTCCTGCCCCATTACAACATTCCAAGTCGGCCCAACACGCAGCAAGATGCCAACCACCTTAAACGACCATCATACGACACACTTTGGCATCGAGTGACGGCGAGATGCTCACTGCTCCTCTCGGCATGCCGTGCGGTGCCCTCGTGGCAGCGTCTGTTTGGTTTCCCAGCTCCTCTTGCACAAAATCCATTGCCTACAACTACCAAGTCATGTGCACAGACTTGGTCGTGCCGTAGACCTCAGTGTAACTCTCCCAATCTCGGTACGCACGATGCACGGCAAGGGCCTGAGGTTGCTTCAGCTGATGCTAAGGATGGGAACGAGAGGAGTGGGGAAGGAAGGAGAGGAGAGAAGGGGAGAAGGGAGAGGGAAAATATTGTCAGAGACGCAGTTATTGAATTTCAAGCCTACCGACCCACAAACTTCATCCAGCATCGGCCATTTCCTAGTCTCGAGCTTCTTCCATCCATTCAGAACCTAATGTGCATCTTCATCATAAACATCATGATTAAACCTTTTCTATTTTCTTTCATCGTCTTCGTTTCCATCGTCTCCACCATCATTATCGTCATCATCTTCGTGGTCGACAACACGTTCCTCGTTTTTTCTCCATCATCTCCATCATCTCCATCATCTCCGCCACCATAATCATCATCATCTCCATCATCTCCATCTTCATCTCCTTTATCTCCATCATTTCCATCATCATCACCAGTGAGCAGAACGGCTCTCTCATCGACATGCATGGCAGCCGCACGCATTGCCCGCCGGGTGCTGCCATGGAGCGCCAGGGATCCTGAAGTTCCCAAAGACGATGACTCAAGTATCAGATGTATCCTTGAGGATATGGCACTCGAACTCACGGCCCGGATCCAGCTACAGCGGCCCGGCAGTCCGGAAGAGTCGCCTGGTCAGTGAGGGGATGAGGCTACTTGACTCTTCGAGGACGGAGGTAGTCCACACCACGGGGGTGGATAGACTAGGGGGTAGGGGTATGGGGTGGTGTTGGAGCAGTTGGGTATGGTAGGGTATTCCTGGTCATTGGGTAGGGGTATGTAAAGCAGGAGGTTAGGAGGTAGGGGTAGTGGGTGGTCGTTTGCTGTGCGGGTTGGCAAGTGGAGTAAGATGGGGACGAGAAAACTGTTGAAAGGAGATATAGGAAAAGATGACTAGCATCACTACCCCACAAAGCGTGAGTTGGGAAAAAGTCCTAGACCGGTGGTCATTCAAGACTGGTAGGGTCCTGATAAGACCTGCAGACAGGTGAAGATTGTAGGGGTAGTAGGAAATCCAAAGATTTTTCACGAAAGGGTAGGGTAGTCATATGTGGTGATGACGGACGGTGGGGTGGTAAATTCCGGGAACCGCAAGGGTAGTAGTGCCAAAGTAGCGCCTAATAATGCTGCTGCTTCCAATCAGATCGCTCGCCTCGTCCTTCACGCGCAATGACGGGATGGTCATGACAGGAGATCTCAGTAAGTTTTATCTTCTCTCTCTCTCGCTCCCGCGTCACTGTCTTGCTCTGCTGCAAGCTTGTTGTTGCTGTATGAGAGAGATATGTAAGTGTATATCACCCCAGCGGCGCGGGTTGTGAACGGGACAGAGGCATGCTTCTTGGCATTGAAGATTGATACTGATGATGGATTGATTGAATGATCAGTTCATGTAGCATCGTTGCCTAACATATCCATGTTGAGGTTAGAATTGTTGCACTATGATGTCAAAATGGTACATGTGTAATAACGTTTGTCGCGCCTTGCTGTGTCGAGTATGATATGAGCGTCGATTGCATGTTCGTCTAGAATCTAACCATATTTCTTCCAATAACAGCCTACAGTGGTAACTCTGGGTTTGTCATCGAGGATAAGTACAACACTGGTATCAGCGATCCAGAATACTGGAACCCGATCTCTATCAACACCAAGTATGGCGGAGGCTTCGGTACTGGTGTGACAGGAGCTGCTGAGGGTGGATGGCATCTCTTCGATGGGTCTGTCGACACCAGCATCATGTAATGCTTCACTGCATGCTTCTCTCTTGTGCAGTGTTCAACATTATACCATATGAAACTACAGAAAATGAGCCAGTAAACACCGATGTTTGACCTTGTTGATGGCGACCTTGAAGCGTGTCTACGAGTTGGAACTCCAGAAGATACAGTTGGGAAAGAGACTGACCTTGTTGACTGGATTTGATCGCAGCGACTGTAAACTTACTAACTGCAGAAGCTGAGTGGATGTGTGGTTGAGCTGGCTGGATGGTGATGGGAAGGATCGTGAATTGTGAGATTGCAGGATAGCGAAATGAGCAAAAGATGATGCCTGGCAGATTCTCTGTGGGAAGAGAGAATGAGGAAGCTAGTTTCTCGTTGCTCATCAGTGGAGTTTCCTTCATTTCCTTCACGACTCTGTTCCGTGGCATTTCATTCCAATGGCATCTCATGTTGTGCAGGGATCAATTATGTCTAACGACTGCAGTGTGAGAAACTATCATGTTGATGTACTCTGCAACCGCACACAGGACCTGAGCTAAGCTATACTGACTGCACCACATCGTGTGTATGACTGAGAGAAAATGTCATCTTTTGCAGTCAAGTTGCACCCAATGATGGCTTGACAGCTTACTGCGCAACCGCAAACATTGACATGTCTTATGTCCTCTGATTTTCTTCTCCCTCACCCTCTCTCTCTCTCTCTGCTTGCTCTGTTCGTCAAGGGCTTGTCGGGCGATCACTACCCCACCCCAAAGTCCCAAAAAAACACCGTCAATACAAACAAAACCCTATCCATTACCGGTATATTTGTAGTGAAATATGGGGGTACTTCCAGTACCCCACCAACCAGATATCCGCACCCTACCCCTGAATTGTCGACGAATCTTCGCCATGGTTTAGCGCACGTGAAGATGGGGGAGGAGATCGAAGGGGAGGGAGGAGGAGGAGAAGGCGAGACGAGGAAAGTACACAGACAAGTACAAGCACAGATGAGACCGTGATCGAAGAGAGGAGCTGTAGCAGAAGGTTGAAGAAAAGCGGAGAAAGACTTGCTGGAAACATTCAAGGCAGCGATAGGATAATGCTGTGTTGTAAGACCGGGTACAACAGCATAACAGGAGCAACGATGACGCTGTATGCAAACACAAAGTAACAATGAACAATACGGTTGATGAGAGCGATGGGAAGATGAAAGAGTACATGTGGCTCTACCGCATGTCTATCTCATGCTCGAAATGAAAGTGTTTGCAGTGACGCTCAACAGTCGTGAGATGCCGGGAAAGGTTGCGGACTCGTCCCATACAGGTCTTCCAAACAACCCTGCCATGTCCAGGTACTCAGTTGTTCCTCAGACGGGGATGCGGAGGCGAGCGTGTTGGAGAGGCTCTTCATTGGAGGAGTTCCGTTGAATGTCAACACGAGGCAGATCACAGACCGGTTCTCCGCCTTCCCTCTCCTAGAGGTGAGAGAGCAAGGATGAAGGACCTTGTAACAGTCTAGGATGATGTTGACTTGCTCGCAGGTCAGAGACATTTACGTCTCAAGGGTGGACGCCGGAGACGAAACATCGAATTCCAAAGTGAGCATGAACAGCTACCCCCCCTTCTTCTTCCCACCAACTCTCTCCTCGCTACCCTCCTCTCTATCCCATCAGCTCCTTCCTCTTCCCCTTGTCAATGTTTCAGCTTCCTCCTCCTTCCATCCTGTCCCGTCCCATCCTCCCTCCTCCCTCCTCCCTCCTCCCTCCTCCCTCCTCCCTCCTCCCTCCTCCCTGTCATCTGAAAAATTTTGGTCTCTAGAGATTTGCGTATGCAAGTGTGTTCGGTCCTCCTGCAGAGATTCAACGTTTCAAAGGTGAGAATAATTTTCTTGTTCCTCCACTCCCCGTCAGATTTCAACTTTTACCTCCGTCCTCCTCGTTTCTCACCACTCACTCTATCCCTCATTGTGTTTCATCTCACTCGTACCCTCTGACATGTTTGGTGTGTCTCATGTTGGATTGTTGTCCCTTTTCTTCTCTCTCTGAATATTTGGTCTGCTCCTTGACTGTAATATCTTGCAACCTGATCCACCTTTTTACACATCTTGACTTGATCTATTCCTCATTGCCTTACAAACACCATTCACGTTGTTCTAGAGTTGTACACGGGAACGAAATGGAGTGGGAGCTATGTGCGAGTTGAGAAAGCAAAGGTTTCTTACATCGAGAAACTCGGTGATGCATGCAGGAGGGAGTCATTGGTGCGATGTGATGTTTGAACAGAACAAGAATGGAAGATTGAGTTCGAGAAGAAAGAGCAAAGGGACAAAGGTAATGTCGAGATGTGATGGAGGATATGTCAGTCCGAGTGAAGGTTGTTTTTGCAGCGAGAGAGAAGAAGGCGGCTGTTCTGTCAAAGAAGTTGAGGGCGATGATTGTTGCAGACAAAGTGACATTTGTGTTTGTCAGTCTCTTGCCCCATTGACATGTGTAGCAGAAAACCAAACCTGAGGAGAAGGAGAAGGTTGTGGTGAAGAAAGAACCAAAGCATATTGAAAAGCCATTGTCATCTGTTGAGAAGAAGGATAAGAAGAGAGCTGTGAAGGATGAGAAAACACATGATGAACCATCGAAGAAGGAGAGCATTCCGAGTGAGGACGACAAGGACGAGGTCCCTGCAGGGACAAGTAAAGAACACTTCTTCAAGGCACTTCCAGACAAAGACGCAAGTGAGCTTGACAACACCTTATGACGATTTCCATGGCGAGTGACGAGAACTGACAGAAGGGAAGATGAAGAAAGATACAAACAAAAGAAACTTGCAATTCAAGAACCACGAGGTTGTTGCTGTGCCTGATTGCATTTATCTATTTTTATTTGTCCAGACCTCTCGTGTTTTTTTGCTATTCCCCCTCCCTCCCTCCCTCCCTCCCTCCCTCCCTCCCTCTCCCTCTCCCTCTCCCTCTCCCTCTCCCTCTCCCTCTCCCTCTCCCTCCTTCCTTAGTGTCTTCTCTTCCCATCTTGTACCTGATCTAATTGCTCGCCTCATGTCCTGGAATGATGTGAATTCGGTTTCCTGGCAGCTTGAGATCGTGGAGCCTCCATCATGTCAGGGTTTCGAGGCGTATGAGCAACCTCCAAAGCATCTGGATGAGAAGACAAGGGAAGAAGCAAAGAAGGAGCAAAGTCTTGCCCTGTCAGTGTTGGACAAGGTTTGCAAGGATGGAAGTACGAGGCAACGAACACTGAGAGAATGGGCGGAAGAGGTGAGAGAATTTCGTTGTAGACGGCATGCTCTGCTGACATGGTGTCCTGTTTCTCCCTTGCTCCCTCCCTCGCTTCTGCCCCACTTCCTCTCCCTCACTCCCTTCCCTCTCTCTCCTCCCTGACTTTCTACTCTCTTTTCCCTCCCTCCCTCTCTCTGTCCCTCCCTTCTCCCTATCCCTCACTCCCTCACTCTTCCTCCTCTCCTCTCCTCTCCTCTCCTCTCCTCTCCTCTCCTCTCCTCTCCTCTCCTCTCCTCTCCTCTCCTCTCCTCGCCTCTCCCTCCCTCTGATTCACTGCCTTCGTTCTCCTCGCTCCCTTGCCTCAGCCGGAGTACAATGATGAGATCGAGCGACTTGCGAGGTGGGAGGAGCAAGGCATTCGCCCGTCCGACATGGCAGGGAAGCGAAAGAAGAAATTGCAAGAGAACGCCAAGAGCCAGCAAAGAGAAACTTTTCAACATCAGGAGGATGAAGAGGAGAAAGAGGCGGGAGGTGCTTTCAAGGCTGCGGAGGGAGCAAGGGAGGAAACAACAGGAAATGGAGGAAGAGGAGGGAAGAAGGAGAAGGAGAAGGAGAAGGAGAAGGAGAAGAAAGAAGTGAAGATTGCGGAACAGTTCGAGGATGGTGAGACGGATACGTTGCAAAATGCAAAAGAGGAGCCTCCCAGAGGGATTTTGAAGTCCAAGGTTCAAAACGAGGAGGAGAAGAAAGTTCCCGTGGTCAAGAACGATGTTGAGGTAGGTTGCGATCTCTATGAGTTGCTCTTCCAGTGAATTTTCCTCCTTGTTTGTTGCTGTTCTTTGCAGGTGAGATCGAAAGCGGAGCAGTTGAAAAATATCTGTGGGGAGAATGTCAAGAAGGGATTTTCAATCCTTGGATCGGTCTTGATGACAACACCCAAGAAGATTGAAGCAGTGAATGAGAACAAAGGTGAAAGTTGAACGTTATCACCATCGTTGTCATTCTTATCATGATCTCGATATCATTTTCTCTTCTCCTCCCTTCTTCTTCTCGTTTCTTCTTTGTCCGGTCTGTATTTCTATTCCTATTCATCTGCGTCCTCTCCGTCATGATCTCAATCTTCAACAACAACAATCATCATCATCATCATCATCATCATCATCATCATCATCATCATCATCATCATCATCATCATCATCATCATCATCATCATCATCATCATCAATAACATTAATCATAATCAACAACAACATAAATATCCACGACAATGTCGTAGATGTCATCCAAAAACGTCACATCATTATAGTTTGCTCTCTCAACATCTCTGATTCATCATCTTTTCTTTGTACAGGCCAAGTCGTCGCGAGCCAAGAGAGAAAAGTTGCAAACAGACCAGAAAAGATTCAGACTGTACAGTCAGCACCATCGTCAAGTTCTGACCTCAGTTCAGAGGAGGATACAAGAGGAGACGACAGCGACGACGACGACCGACAGAAGATGATTGTTCAAACAACACCTTCAACTGCATCTCGGCATGAGATCAGGTCAAAGATGTCAAACTTCTTGAAGCATCACAGCAACGACAAGCAAACGAGCCCCTTGCATGCAACACCTAGTCCATGCAAGCATGCGTGCTCCGCTGCCGACTTCTTCTCTGGTGATTGTTATAGAGACGGGGGTGGAACTGACGAGGATGTTGAAGGAGATGTGAATGGAGATGAAATACTCCAAGCACATGTAACAAACACAAACAATAACGAGGTGAGAAGTAGAGAAACTTTCGATTGCAGTGTTGTTATGGATGTTTCGAAGGAGGGAAACTATCAGGCAACATCAGATCCTGCTACGTCAAAGAGAAAACTTTCTGCAATCAGCGAAGAAGATGAGGTAGAGACTGCTAAGTTTTGCCAAGGCTGAAGACTGACAATGAACAGGGAAAAGGGAAGAAGAAGAAGAAGAAAGAAAAGAAGGGGGTTGAAGAGAAGAAAACAAAAGAGAAGGGTAAGAGGAAAAGCAGTGAAGGTAAATCTTGACTCTGCAATGTTACACTTTTGTGACGAATGGTAGGTGATGGAGCAAACGATGTTGTAAGAATCGAAGATGTACTTTATCACTTTCTCACACTGATATGCAGGAAAATGGCGGAAAGACAAGCGAAGAGCAGGAGAAAACAGGTATTATTTGAATTTCTTTTCTTTTGCTTTGATCTGAAGGAGAGGTTTGAAGATCAGAACAAGAACAGTCAATGGCAAGTGAATGGAGATATGCTCGGATTGAGGGTACGTGCAACTTGATCATGAAGAGGATGATGGAGATGATCGTAGAGATGATGATGATGATGATTGAGATGATGATGATGATTGAGATGATGATGATGATGATAGATGGAGACGGTAGTGTTGATGATAATTTTCAAGATGATCTATAAATTCATGATGACACTGTCATTTCATTTTGGACATATCTCCTCCTAACTCAATTTTGCAGGCGTGGGGAGGGATCTTGACAAAAGGTCGATGATGGACCATAACATCTCTTCATGAACACCTGAAAGTTTTTCATGGCAGGAGGCGATGCGTCAGGATTTTCTCTATTCGGACAAACAAGTTCGGAAGAGAAGAATTTGTCAACAGAATCTTTTTCGTTCAATTTCAATGAGATGGCGAAGAAGTCGAAAGAGAAAGAGAAAGTGAAAGAGAAGGAGAAACACAAAAGTCCAACAGGCGGCAAGAAAGATCAGAACAAACCATTGCCATCATCCTTGTCTTTTGCTTCCACTCAGTCCGGAGGCTCCAAATTTTTCAGGCAGGCAGAATCTGAGAGTTCGGTGAGGAGGGAGGAGGGGGAGAGCTTGAAACATTCTCATGATATTTTCCAAAAGATCCTTGAAAGCTGGAAGACACAGAGGCGGGAGCAAGTCCGCCAAGTCAAGAGAGAGAGGGTAATGATTCTTGTTCTCTGTCTTCCTCCTCCTTCTCACCTTCTGCTCCCCTTGTTGTCTTTCAGGTCCTCGGTCTGAGGCATGCGGTGCGGGCAAGCGAGCACAAGTCAAGTAAGATGAGTCCCAAGGGGAGGAGGATGAAGATGAAGAAGAAATAATTTTTTTCAAACTCAAAGTTCTCATGCTCTTGTTGCTCTCGATGCGATTTTGTGCAACACATTCGCCTCTCACTGTTCTCGCTGGAATCTTGGCCACTCTCAATGACACAACAGCATCTCGAGATGTTTGTGCTGATTGTCTTCAGACTTGCAAAGATGAATCGAACAGCTTGGTAGAAGATCCCATCAAATCTTCTTGTTTCAAGATACCCCGATCGATGACCATCCTCTCTGTATCTTTCAAAGCCTGTTGATAACCTCCCAATACCTTCTCGATCTGCAACATCGTGTGTTAATCTTGTTTCTATCACCATCTCAATCTCCATTATCATTATCGTCCTCCTCCTCATCATCATCATCATCATCACCATCACCATTACCATCATCACCATCATCACCATCATCATCATCATCTTTTTTTCTTCTTTCTTTAGCAGCAGCAACAATCAAACATGTAACCTACTTCTTGTTTCGTTATGATCAGAGGAGGCGAGCATGCCAAAACGTCTCCAATGGCCCGGACAATCACTCCATGCCGCCTGATAGGATTCAGTATCGACCTCCTCCTCCTCCTCCTCCTCCTCCTCCTCCTTCTCATCTCGTACCTCGCACTCTCACAGAAAAACGCTCCAACGCCATTCGACGCGTCAAAAGGAGCTTTAGTTCTTCGATCCTGGAGGGAAAGAAAGTCAAAGAGGCGGAGGAGAAGAGGAGGGAGGACGAGCGGAGGGTGAGAGTGAAAGCAATCAAAAAGATGAGCGCAGAGAGGGTGGAGCAGATCCGACAAGGGAAGGAGAAGTACAAGAAACAAGGAAGTCAAGGAAGCCCAGGAGGAAGCAACGGCCAGCAGCAGGGAGGGAGCAGGATGCAGCAGGGATGCAGCAGGGATGCAGCAGGGAGCAGGGAGCAGGGAGCAGGGAGCAGGGAGCAGGGAGCAGGGATCAGGGAGCAGGTCGTGGGGAGGGGGGGGAGGGGGGGGGGGCTAGAGAAATAAGCAGCAGGGAGAAAGCTTACCTTGACAAGCTCGATGGCAGCTATCAACCCACAACCTCTCACTTCTCCAACGATCGGTGAGTCTTTGCAAACCTTGAGGAGAAACATTCACAAAGATGTTGATCAAGAACATGTACCTCCCTCTCCTCTGTCTCTTCCCATCCTCAATCCCTCTTCACTGACTACTCCC